AGCCCCCCATAGAAGCCTTGTTTCATCTGTGGTGCAAAAAATCTGCTTATTACTGGAAGTCTGTTCAACCTCCATGTGAACGTTATTCAGTGTGTGAGAATCTGGTGGGGGGGGGACTCCTCTGTTACAAACCTTCATTTGCTTTTAGAGAACAATCACTTTACAGGCTACTGTTTTGGGGGGATTATTGGAGAGAAAGGGCCCCACGATCTCTCCAGCTGAGGAGGAAGACACTCAGGGTGTTTCTCAATCGCGAGTAAAGCTGCTTCAGAGCCACTATTTCAAGCATACTACGTCATCGAGTGCCGCCGAAGTACTGTTCCAATCTCCAGCATACTTGGAAATCTACCGAGCCCGGCGTACTCCGTTTGGAGAAATATCGAGTGTGCACATGAGTAGACTCCGCGGTCTTAAAATCCCCACAATGCTTTGCGCACGGACCAATTTCCCCAAATCTGTGGCGGAAGATGTAAGGGGCGGGGCCTCTCATATGACGCACACCTGCACACTTGCTAGCGTGTTCCACACTTCGTTTTCCGAATGCCAGGAAGTATTCTTGACTCGCTTCTGAAGCAACATGCTCGGCAGACATGTGCTACCAAGCAAGCGTACTCGCGATTGAGAAACACCCTCAGACTCCATGGATGTTTTCTGTCTATTTGTAGTCTTTTTGAAGTCATTTTGTGGCTTTTTGTAGTCTTTTTGTGGTTATTTCATGTCATCTTAAAGTTGTTTTGTGTCTGTTTGTAGTTTGTGTTGAGTCTTGTTGCTTTTCTGTGGTCATTTTAAATTGTTATTGCTTTTAATTTGGGTGTTTTTGTGGTCAGTTCAAGTCTCTTTGTAGTTTTTGTGCGGTTGTTTTGTGTCTCTTAAAGTTGGGGTAGGTAATTCACTTCAGAAACACTTTTTGTTATATTCCATGGAATGCTCTTAACATCCTGATAGCAATGAATATATTAAATGCTTTGACAATAAATACATTAAAATAATTCATCTGTGGAAGCCGTGGCGCTGTAAAAAGCACGACCAATCATCTGAGCCGGCCCGGCTAAAATAACTGGATGGCCTACCTGCCTGTCAGCCTTCCATCTGTGCACAAACTTATCTCGTGACCTCATTGGTCCTGTGTGCGTTCGTGTGTGTTGGAGGAGCGGCTCTGTAAGGAAGTCTGAAGGAAGGGGCAGATTTTTTTCGGTTGTGTACTTTCAAATTCTAGCGCACTCGAGCTGGTTTCTCCATTCTTACCTACCCTACCTTTAATAGTCATTTTGTGTCTCTTTGAGAAGTCTTATTGTGTGCCTTTGTAATCATCTGTATCTCCCTGTGTCGCTTTGCTGTATTTTATGTCTTATCATGGTTGTTTTGTTTCTGTTCATTGTGTGTCTTTTGCAGTCATGTGTCCATTTGGAGTCTTTTGGTGAATTTGTCTTTGTGACACTTTGTAGGTGAAGGAAGTACAAATAAAGACAACAAGGTGTTAGGTAGGTAAACAAGGGTTTCCAATGTTTTATTCCTTTAATATCAATGGCAAATACAAATTGATGCTCCACAACTCACTTTAAAAGTTATTTTTCCCAACATTTTAAGTGTTTTCTTTAGAAGACAGTGTCCAAATTATCCAATTCTTAAAAAGTAGGTGCACAAAACGCCCTCCTTATTGTTCAACAAACAGACATTTGACCTTTGAGAAAGGCGGCAGGCGGCAACGATGTCCATGGAGCTATGACACGGTGTGTGTGTGTGTTGCATGAAAGCACCACGCCTGAGACAATGAAAGGAATGACCCTTGTGACACACGTCGATATAAATATATCATATACACTCATACATATATCATATATACTTCTGTTAGGTCGTGTTTTAAGGCATTATCAGCCACTTTGTATGCAGGGACATTAAATGTGCAACAACAAACAATATCAAATATACACATGAACACGAGTTTCTCCTGATGCTTAGTACACATCTTAAAGTGTTGTTCTTTAAAGACTCCACGCCTGCGTCCTGAGGCTGAGGGCACCGGGAGGGGGGAGGAAGGGTGAGGACAGTTACATGTTCTTGTGTGGCAAACCCTTTCAAATGTAAACAGTAGAGCTGGCTCGCAGTGATTTAGTTACTACTAGTTTGAATTTTAAATTAAAGAGTATCTTTGTCACACATTTCAAGTACATTTTCTAGATATCTACAATTGAATTTCCCCATGTTGAAAAATAAATTGTTAATTTTCAGATATATTCAACAGCATTTTGAATATGCAGTTATATTTTTGTATTTAATTAAATTCTGAGTAGTAACAAAAAGTAGTCGTTGAAGTGGTAGTAGTTGTAGTTACATTTTGTATTTTAGGTGTGTAATCTTAAAAATTACTTTACTAGTAAGAATTGTATTATATCTGAAATGCAATTCTAGATATCTAAATTGAGTACATTTTGACTTGTCAGAGCATGAGATATTTATAAATTAAGAATAAATTAAGATATCTACAACATCTCCATTTGTGAGAATTGGGTTGCAGATATCATTATTAAAATTGCAACTAGCCAAAATAACATCATAGATATGTTGAATTATAACACGTCAAAGATGAATTATAGATAAATCTGTCATTGACTTTGAATAGAAGTCAATGGTGAAAGCACAACTTTGACATTTCCACTAGAAAAACAATTTAAATAGCAAGAAATGAAATGCAGTTATTTTTTACAGACAGAATTACAATTTGGATATGTTTGATATTGGAAAAGGAATTGTTGATATCGCCAAACTGCTACTGGTTAAATGGGTTTGTCATAAAAACAAGCATTTTTCCACACACACACACACACACACACACACACACACACACAACACACACACACCACACACACCACACACACACACACACACACACACCACACACACACACACCACCACACACACACACACCACACACACACCACACACACACACACACACACACACACACACACCACCACACACACACACACACACACACACACACACACACACCACACACACACACACACACACACACACATTAATGCTTTAGGTAAATACATGAAGTCTTTGTCAAGTGGATTTTTTTTTTGCATTTGACTAGCAAACAGAGACGAAGCCTTACAATATAATTTTAAAACCACCCACCCACCCTCTACCACCCCTAAAAACGTCTCTCTGAAGACAGCGACGAAACACACTCACATACTGTTTACACATACACACACTGACAGATGGCATTTCAGTGAACACAACTGCCCACTCACTCACACTTTATGCCCCGTTACGTCTCCCCTTTAGCTCTCCTCGTAACGCGGCTACATAGCTCCTCTCCGTTTGAAAAGGTTTCCAATTTGACAACAAAACAAATATTAAAATAAGCAGCATTCCACACTCAAAACACTAAACAATCCTAAATCTATTTTTCGGATTCATGCTTTCAATGTGACTTGTGAGCGGTGGGTGGATGTGGGATGGAGGTTCCTTTGGCGTCGGGCTGCTACACTGCAGGGTTAGAGGACATTTACATTCATAAGACCCTCCCCTTTGCTGCCCGTGATGATTTTTGAACCGAACAAAAAAGGCGCTACATTCTCACGAGGCGGCCGTTTTCGTTTTTGGGTTCCTCGGCACGGAGATAACGCAGCTCTTGCCAGAAGAATCATCTCCACGCTCACCCTAGCTCATCTCTCTTTTATACTTTTTTTTTAAAGTTCATTTTTTAATAAATTATTCAAGTTTTTTTGTCATTTTATACCCCCCCCGTTTAAAAAGGGCGAGTTGGCTTTTTGAAAACAGCGAAAAAATAATGACCAATCACAAAGAAAAACATTTCATTTCCTATGAGCACCGTGCCGAATTGTGAACAAAAGCCTCGAGGCACAAGAGACGATTCTAAATACTCTAAGGATTGACTAGGCTGTGCAAACAACACTACACATCGGAGACTCTCACAAGTAGAATGACGAATTAAATATATTTCTATATATTCATCTATATATTTAGTATATCTAATAAATACATTTGTTGATAGACATAGAGATATTTCTGTAAACTATTTACATTAACATTTTTTTTTGTTGCAGAAACAATAAATAGCTATGAAGGCAAGGCGAAGGAGAGACAATCTGGGCTCCTTCATAAATAAATGGCAGGACCATCCACTCGTGAAAATAATCTCACCTGCCTGTCTGTCCTCTCTACACATGGAATGTTCTCTCAGTCGATCTTCCTGTTAACACCTGCTGAACGGGGCAGTGAAGAACAAGAGGAAGTCGTGTACTAAAATGTGCCAGCACCTGCCAACATGTAACCTGCATCGGGCCCCGGTGGCTGGCGTTTAAAAAAAGTTTCCAAACCGGCTAGTGACCCCCCTCAAAACGTGACAAACACACATTACGATAAAAGGATGCTGTGAAAACGCCACAGTCATCAGAGAGAGGGAGAAAAACATTAAAAACCCATCCCATAAACCCTCCCTATCACAATCTCATGCTGCACAAAGTTTTTTTTTTTACATTTTTGTACTCTCTAAACTGGCAGGTGTGGACAGAAAATCATAAAGTTAGGAGCCTGCCGATGCCTGGGTGCGTGCTAAGCGACGTATTGCTGGCGGCCCCAAGTCACACCTCACACAGGCAGCTTTAGTGTAGGCCAGAAATAATAATAACGCTCAGCTCATCTTGTAACAATACTGTAGTGGGGGGGGGGGGGGGGGGGGGGGGGGGGCTCCTTCAAGTTTTTAAGAGACAGCATTTGAAAAAAGATGAAACTGTTTTTGCTGTAAGTGCAAAAGTACCATGACGGGGCAGAAAAAGCCCTGCATCATGTCAGTGTCACACCTTTGGGAGGACGGGACAACCAGGAGCGATGGAGGGGTGTGTGTGTTTTAGTGTGTGTGTATGTGTGTTAGTATTTGTGAAATCTCATAAGTGCTTCCCATGTCTCTTGAGGCATAGAAAAGAGGCAGTGGGGCATTGTGTAGTAACATTCTCTGGCTGAAAGTTGTGTTTCTGACGGATGGACGGAGTGACGGGGGGGTGGAGTGTCTTTAAAATCCCACTCGTTTGATTGGTGCAGAGCAGAGCGGGGGACACCTTAATGACTGACCGCTGATGATGGGTGTGTCTAAAAGGTGTTGGATGGAGGTCAAAGTAAGGGGCTGGGGGGGTCTCAGATCGCATTTAGGGAGTGGTGAGGCATTCTGGGACGGGATTGGCTGAGGGGGTGGAGGAGGCGGGGCTTGGAGCCTATAGGCTGCAGGCTAGCTGCGTGGCAATCTCCTGAGTGTCCTGCAGGCGCAGCAGGCAGGCGCTGGAGTAGCCCTCGTCGCTGCAGCTGCTGCGCAGACTCCCCCGCTCGTCCCCCGAGTCGCTCACGCTGCTGGTGCTCCACTCCAGGTCCCCCAGCAGGTAGTCCGTCCCCTCCACGTCCACATCCAGGTCCTCTGCTCACAGGAGACACAGACACAACACGGTTAAAGGTCCCCTATTATACTATTTTTCATCAATATATTATAGGTCTCAGATATATACAAAACATGTCTCTGAAGTGTTTGGCTCCAAACACCAAACAGATCATTGCAGCATCCCATAATCCCCTCTGTTTCAGCCCTGTTTCAAAAGTGCTGATTCTCTGTCTGTTACTTTAGATGAAAATAAGGAGCCCCTCCCCACGCCCCTCTGAGAGATATTTGGTTACAAAGAACACAATGGTGCTCTAGGAGGAGATTCAGGTGATAAGGGGGGGGGGTTACCTTGGTTGCTGATTGGCTAATGGTTACACAAGCCAAAACAACGTTATGACATCATAGAGTGGCCAAAATCTCATCAGCTCATTTTCAGACAGGTTTTTATATAAATGGATCAGGACAAAAAGAGAGAGAATCTTTGTTCCTGAAACTTTCAGAATCTCTTTACACAGAGGGGACACATGGTGATGTAGAAGAGACATGAACAAGTGGATTTTGCATGATAGGTGACCTTTAAAGGGCTGGATGACCATTTTATTTATTAAAAAAGTCACTCATTTTAAACAAATAGAATACCTTTTATTGTAATGTTAAAGCTTTGTTATGACATTGATATTATGTCAGTGTCACACCATATCATTTGTCATTTGGATTATCTATGCTGTCGTTTTATTGTTTTTTATTCTGTCATTCATGTCTTGTTGATCCGTACATACTGTAAAGCCCCCCGAGAACAATATCTAATTTATGATATCAGGATATGTAAGTGAAATAAGATTATTTTTTATTTGGTGTTATACCAAAAAACAAACTCAAAAGTTGGTAAAAAGCTAATTTCTGGCTTTTTTCGTCATTGCATTCTTAATTTAATGCAGAGAGAGACAGCTGGGGGAAACAGTGTATCTGTTTAAAATGAGAGTGACTTCAACTCCAAACTTAAACTGTTAATTAAAGGTTTGTTTCAACCAAATCCAGAGTTGGTGATTGTTAGAAAAAATGTAAAGACTAGCAAAGTTAGGGTGGAAAGTTTTAACCCATCGCCTAACCTCAATTACTACTTGAATCTTTCCTGAATAAACAAGGCGTGGTGCGGCGTACAGTCAGGGCAGCTGATATTTGCATATCCTAAATATCTGTGAACGCAACCTAGTTTTCATCTGGATTCCCCTTCTTTATCTCTTCTCTCAGGCACAGTAGAGTGTGTGTGTGTGTGTGTGTGTGTGTTATGTGTGTGTGTGTTATGTGTGTGTGTGTGATGTGTGTTGGAGGAGAGCGTGTGTGTGTGTGTGTGAGTATGTGTGATGTGTGTTGGAGGAGAGCGTGTGTGTGTGTGTGAGTGTGTGTGTGTGTGTGTGTGTGTTATGTGTGTGTATGTGTGTGTGTGTGTGTGTGTGATGTGTGTTGGAGGAGAGCGTGTGTGTGTGTGTGTGTGTGAGTATGTGTGTGTGTGTGATGTGTGTTGGAGGAGAGCGTGTGTGTGTGTGTGTGTGTGTGTATGTGTGTGTGTGTGTTATGTGTGTGTATATGTATGGGTGTGTGTATGTGTGATAGTTACAGTATGTGTGTGTATGCGTGTGTGTGTATATGTATGGGTGTGTGTATGTGTGATAGTTACAGTATGTGTGTGTTATGTGTGTGTGTGTGTGTACCTTGGTCAGAGTCGGACTTGTCGGACTGGGTGGAGCCGGTGCTGTCCATGCGGGTCCTCTCCACCCCCAGCTGTTGGAGGCGTCTCCTCAGGTGCCTCCTCTCCCTCTGCAGCTGATCCATCGTGTGCTGCGCTCTCCTGTCGCTCTCCTCCAACCTCTGCAGGGAGCAGAACAACACAGCGGTCAAAACCCAACCCTTAAAGTAACCCTCATCACATCCAAAACAATCCACCTTCCTTCCCCCGAAACAGCACTTCACAGATTGCCCTCAAGCCTTCTAGTTAGAGGTGCACCGATAAACCTACCTGTTTTTAACCTCTGCATTATTACACATCATGACACTTTAAAGCCCCACACCTTGATATGGTCTCTGGCCTTCATCAGCAGGCTGAGGGTGGTGTGCCTGTTGGCATCCTTTCCTAAGGGAACGAGGGATTTCAAGCGCTCCAAACAGAGCCGTAGATTAGCCCGTCTGGAACAGGAGAGAAGAAACAAAGAGAGAGAAACATGATTATTGATTTATTTGCCGTCAGATACACACAAGCAGCTGAAGTTGAGCAGGCAAGTTCATTCTTAGCCTTGGAAAGAGTAGTTTGTCAAATCAATGAAGAACATTCTTTGGAGCCTTAAACTACATCTCATGCTTTCATTGCTGGAGTTTTCTAAGGCTGCAGCCACGCGAGGACGGTAACGGTCGTATCCGCTACAGTTCTCTATCATATAGACGGTTCGGCCACAAGAGGCCGACATGGAAACGCAGAAAACGATAACATATGTACTACAGCGTCTCCAGCGCTTTCGAGCGGTCTCGTGTGAACGGACACGTCTCTGGTGCCTATTGCGTGTGGACGGAAGACTTTTTTCATATCGAATTCGGTTCGTTTGCGTTACCGTTCTCGTGTGGCTCCAGTCTAAGTTGTATCAGGTCTTTCTTTGTCAAATATTACTTTTTGATGGATTTTCTTATATTTATTGTTTAGACAGAGAATCATCTGAATGTATTTAACTAGTCCCACTAAGATATCAAATGAGTAGCTTTTTCAAATCTTCATTTTTCGAAAATGTGTTTTTTTTGTATTATTATTGAAGGACCCTAAAAAAAGGATGTTGAGAATACACAAGCCGCGTTAGAAGAACTGTGCCAAAATAAAATACAACCTAATATTTCTGGAGTCTATACTCTGTCATAAATGCTGCTTTTTTTAAATGTCCGGATTTGGACTTTGAGGAACTTGGATGGACATTTAACTATTTTCTCCAATGTTAGGCCGAAACTATAAATGAATCAAACTATACAATCAACAGCTTAGTCAATAATGAAACTAATCGTTAGTTGCAGGCCTTCAATTAGGTATTTGTATTTAATCAGAGCCACTGTGCATGTGTTTTAGACCCTCTGCTTTTTGATTCAAATGCTAGAGTTACTTATTCATAAAGGAGGCAGTGAGTAAAACGTTTGCACATGTGAGGTTTCCTGAACTGCTGACGCTCTCCTGAGTGTTTCTGAAGCATCGTAACATTACCACATACTGTTGCTATGTAGGACATTTGAGTAACAGTGTAAAAGCGCTCTCTTGCCAAGCCAGAAATGTGCTGAAATCCAAAGATCAGCAGTGACATATTCTCAGATCAGAGCTCATTATTAATGTCAGCCGTCCACTAACACGGCTCACATTTACGTTTCCTCCTGCAGCCGCTCTGAGCTGGCAGTTGCTTCGGTCTGGTGGGTGTTCGCGACCACTTGACCCCGATGTTATACAACACACACATCTCCAGCCTCAGCTGAGTGTGTGTGTGCCCGAGTGAGTGGGCGTGTGTGTACGTCAGACTCTTTCTTGAGTGTTAAAAATGTTTTGGCAACTGAGAGCCTGCAGGATGAGCTATTCATTTATAGTGTGCTGCAACGTAATCCTGATTAGGAGTCTTTGCTTTGAATGCTCATATACATATTTCTTTGGGACGTTTTTAACTTCTCAGGTTTATAGATAGGTAAAACACATGGTAAGAGGGAAGAGTGATTTGACTGTGCAGAGGAAACGCACACATACATTCCCAGGCCCTTTCCGTTTTTAAAAACACACACACGCATATACAAAGCAGTGTTCGGCTGAAAGCAACTCCTCAGCTGAGTCCAAAGGGCATGAACATTGTTGTTACATAACATGGAAATGCCCTCGCTGTGTTTTCCTGACATAATAAGCAAAGCTGGCTAAAGTTTGTTGAACAGCACAGAGGGCCAGCAGCAGAATCAGGAAGTGGCACAGGTCACATGGTTTCTAAATGACAGATGAAGACTCGGGGTGTGGCTGTGACACACAGAGCTTTTTCAGCTGCAGGTTATTCTCGTTCAGTGTGGCTGCATTGTGTTAATAGGAGAGTGTGTATGTGACGAGGATCAGGTGAAGGCCAGAACTTACATTTCTCTGTTAACTACCAGCTGCTAGTTCACTTACTTTTGCTTCTTATTATAACCATGGTGGTGAACTGATTTGCTTTTAGTAAATGTGTGTTTTCCTCTTTATTAAATTATGTTAGCCTTCTTAATTTAGTCTTTCGTCTAGACTGTCTCTTGACTGAGGGACAAATAAAGGACTTCTGATTTCTTTTTAAATACACATGACTGGTGCGAGTGCTGACCCAGTTTGTGATGAAGATACACCTCACTTCAGACCACTTTGTCGTGCATGGATTCATTAATTCATACACGCCTTAATGCATTAGAAAGCATGAATTAATTCAGGTAGTACTTCATGAATTATCAGGAAGAATGGCGCTAATGCAAGAATGAATAGTTGATAGATACAACAACCAAAGTGTCTCAATCATCATGTTTATGACAAAGTTCCTAAAGCTGAAGCCAAGTTTAAGACTTACAAATGATTCATAATGTGGGTGTATTAACCATTTGTTGCATATGAATCAAAACATACCATATTTATATTGTTAAATCATTTGTTGGAGGAGTCACAAAGATGATCGCTTCATAAGCAACACATGGTTAATAAACCATTATAGACCACCAAGGTGTCCCTTCAAATCCAACATGGTTGATCTTTAAGCAGCCTTGCAAAAGCTACACCTAAGTGCAACTGAAAACTACATCTAGGGCAGCGTGATGCACTTTCCCCGAGCAGCAGTAAATCTCCCCACTGCCCCCCGCCCTTTTGGCCCCCAACACTAACTGGACGTGACCAGCTGGGAGGACTTCGCATGTAGCAAAGGTGTGTTGCCAGCTGGAACACACACACACACACACACACACACACACACACACACACACACACACACACACACACACACACACACACACACACACACACACACACCACACACACACACACACACACACACACACACACACACACACACACACACACACACACACACACACACACACACACACACACACCACACACACACACACAAACACACACACACACACACACACACACACACACACACACACACACACACACACACACACACACACACACACACACACACACCACACACACACACACACAGTGAGGGGTCTTATTGCACTCCTCTGGTTTTGCTAGCCTCCGCGAGTAATTTTCTATCCGCCCAACATGGCTCTCTATCATCAAGCGAGTGGTGGGAGAAAGTGGCTAAAGGCTATGAATGTTCTTAAGAGAGATACGCCGGGCTGTGGTCGTTACCGTGACTGACTGCTGGGCTCGAGGTGTTCCACACATGCAGAGGGATAAACCCCAGACACAGGCCTCAGTGCGATACATTATTCAGGCTGCTGCTTTGGATCAGCTAGCACAGGCCGGATGGAAGCACTGAATCAAAAATAAGGCCTGAGGAACAGCAGGCTTATTTTTTGGATTCATTTCAACCTCACAGCCTGTGGTATTATCTTAGCCAAAGAGTTTTATATTAAAAGTATTCATTTGGTGTTTTATAGCAGTAGTATACAGATAGCTTTGGGCATGCAGTGCCTTTAGCTTAATGCTAACATCAGCATGCTTTGAGAAGGTATGCTGTTTACCAACTGCTAGCATATTCATTTAAATCAGAAAGGAACAATTATATTAAATAATATTTTTATTTTATTTTAGTACTAATCGGGCTATTTTATTTAATATGGAATACCAATATATCTTAATCCCGAATAAGATGCCAAATTGAAAGGAGGAAATGTTCAAACATAAAATGAAAGAATGAAAAAAATGAAAAGATATAATTATATCTTTATAATTTATGTATTTAAATCATATTTTATAATTACATTTCCTTTTCAATAGAACATTTTAAGTCAAGCTTCAGAATTGAATCTTTCCTATTTTCCATTTCAGGCTTTTTTATTTTTGAATTGCCTTTTAATCTGTTAAACCCTGAGCCTGTTTTTCAGGTCTCAGGCTCGAAAATGACATTCCCAGAACAAATGACCATATCTTCCCTTCTAAAAGGGTTAAATTAATAATCTTTTTTCTCAAAGTAATGATAAACCTGTGAGTTGGATGTAGAAAAGTCAGAATCAATATAAATGTTTTTTATTTGAAAGAAAATTCAGATTTTACATAGTAAAAAACTGTAAATTATAGTGTCCGTCCAAAAGTTATTTTGTACTTCTAGTGAAGACTACCCTTGGATGATGGTAAGGTAGACTAAAAGCATTAGGAATCCAAAGTACAACATATAATAAGTACCCTGTATCAAGATTGATGCAAAACAAGTGACATTTGACCTTTTTAGAGAGATTTAGCAAAAAGAAACCACTTCTGGGGTCATTTGGGTGGATGTTCCATATCTCTGGCCCCCCTTGCTCGATTTTGATGGTTGACACCTCTTTCTGACCGTTAGAGCCAATAGAATCGAAGGGGGAGTCCCCCACACACACTCGTTGTGAAGAGAAAAGGTGAGGGCTTCGCGCATGTAATTTTGCATCAGAGTGAACCTATCTCTAGCTTTGACATCTGGAAACGGAAAAGCAGTTTTAATGCTTATGGATTATCAGAAATCATTTCAAAGGGACACAGACACATTGGATTAACCTATGGATTAACTTCAGCAGCATTTTTATCATTTTAATGCCATTGAAGACCACTTTGGAGAGACTACAGAGCCAAGGTAAAAATGTTAGCATTTTTAGCTACCTAGCGTCACCTGTTTTGATGTCCGTTTTTGCTTATAACGTCGCCATTTCGTATAATTCAGTGATAATGTGGGTGTCCAACGATTCTGTGTCACCTCACGATGTGAAACGATGTCATGGATGTAGAGAACAGATAAATAATAAGGTTTTGTGAGTGATTTTCGGTGCAGTAAGGTATTAGGATTTTTCGCTCGTTGCTAATTCAGAGGCTCAGTGTTAGCATTGTGGGTTTTATTTTGAAAAATAAATTAAAATGATCAGTTAGATGAGTTTCTTCCCGTTACATGGATATAAAACATTCATAGTTTATTAAATGAACATGCCCTCAGACACTGTTTCCTGCAAGATGTTGCGGCAGTGCCCCGGTACCGGGGTCTCTCGGGCTTAACAGGTTAACAATAACTTAGTAGCCTTTTCATGCATCTTTTTAATATTTAATATTAATCTGTTTTATTTGTTCTATGTCCTTTATATATGTTGCACTGTTGGATGAGCCTGTGACCTAAGCTTTTCATTACCATATCAACACTGTAGCTAATGTGCACGTGACAATAAAGCCTTGAATTGAATTGAATAATACCCTGATTATCTAAAAGGAGAATTTACATTCATCATGTGTAAATCCTTCCTCCAGATTTAACAGAGATTCCCTGATCTGATTATATGGAAATATTTTCAATGTTCCAATGATTATACAGACACTTTCCACAATTCACAAATATGCACACAGAGATGAGATCACTTCTACATACCTGTTCTTTTCCATTTCATTGTGCGTAGACCTGCGGAGATAAAACACACTTGATTAAAACACTCTGTTTAAACAGGTTTTCTCATTGTGAGCCATCAATGCAGTCCAAGGTCTTTCTGCAGGAGAGTGGGAGACAGAGAAAAGGCTGTGTGGGAGTTTATGAGCAGTCAGAACTGCCGACAAAATTAGATTCTAGAGAAAAAAATAAAAAGCTGGATATTCTGATGCTCGAAGGCTTGTTCTATGAAGGCTTATTTAAGGACCACACTCTGGTGGAGAGGCCCCCCGGTAAACATAGTAACAGTAACTAGAAACAGAAGCCAGGGACTGAGCCCTCCATATTGGCTGATTATCCACTGTGCATGTAGTACTGGGAGAGGTGGGGGTGGGGGGAGACACAGTGCTGAAAGTAAACTGAGATGGAGGTGTGCGAGTGGCCAGCATGACTCCTGCATTGCAGTGTTAAAGCGACACACTCACGAGAGAGCGTGCAGAAATGGGGTTAGATGTCGTTTTTGGAATGAAGGAAGTGTAAAAGGGTAGTGGGTTGCAGGAGTTGGTAGGGCTGTGCAATTAATCGCATTTTAATCGCAATTACGATTTTGGCCTGCCACAATTACGAAAACATAATCGAAAAAAACGATTATTTTGCTTTGCTAGGTTGTGAACATATTTGATCTAATTTATTTTTATTTATCATATTTATATATGTTTAGTAGCTTGTGGAAGTGCGCTCCAAAATGTATTGGTTTATTGGTATTTATTATTTTGACATTATTTATTTAAATTTAAATATATCATTTATTTTTGTATTGGTTTTTCAGTTGAATTATACGTTCAGGGTAATCAATAGTTAAAAAGATACTGTCCAAATTATTATTTGTATTTGTTTTAAAGTTCAATAAATGGAAGTTTTCAAAGTCAATGAATAATCGTATTTAATAATCGTGAAATCAATTATTGACCAAAATAATCGTGATTATGATTTTTGCCATAATCGAGCAGCCCTAGGAGTTGGGCATGAGGCAAAGATCAGCATGCCTGAACCCTCCTCTACCTCACCTGACCTCGTGATCCCCTCACCCTACAGTAAGTCCAAAAATAGCCTCTGCACCTTCAGCTCAGCTGGGCTACACACGATCACCACCCTAATCCTCACAGGGATCTGACTCACTCATGCCACTTTCAACCAAAATAGAATGTATAGGAAGGTTTGCTTTTCTCCCCTGGTGTTTCTCATTCACCAAAAGCAGGGTTAGTAACAGTGAAAATCTTACTGTGATTACATCTTTTTTATATTGGTTACCAATTCAGTCTATATTTACTGTACACTCTCAAACCAGAGTTCTTGATTGTTGGAACAGTGGAAAGATTTACACAGACTTTGGTAAGGTTAGGTGTTGATTACTTTGATGTAGTTTATGTTGTGTTTTGTTATGATCTGGGAAGTAAAATGACTGTTCCTGCCATTGGAGTCTGGTGGCTTTAAAGAGAGAAAATGTATAGTTTGTCTTCCATGTTATTCAATTGTAATAATTGACCACATTCCTGTTGATTTAATCTGCTATATATTCACTTCAACACGTCAGAGCTTTGCACTGGTAAAAGAAAAAAAGTGTTGGACCTGGAGTCAATAAAAGACAGATAACTGCAGGGTCATTTGTCCAAAAGACTAAATTGTACCACTAAAAACAGATTAAAGTGGCTTTTTTTGTCTAGACTAAGCTTAAAAATACTGTAGTCCCCTATCCTCTGATCAGCAATGATCATGTCTGTGTCTGTGCGTGTGTGCGTGCGTGTGTGTGTGCATGATCTTGTTTCAGTTTTGGCTGCTCTCTCCGTCAGTCGCCCCCTCCGGCCAGAGAGCATTCCTGTGCCGGGCAGACAGCCGCTGGTGACATAACATTGCTGCAGAGAAATTATCCCAGTTATTCAGGCTACATTCAGACTCAGGGACAACTCCCACCGTCTGCCCTAACCGGCTACACCTCCAACGTTCGCATCCATGACATGACGGCAGCTGATATTGAGTAATAATGAGTTGTCTAATGTGGATTTATTTATGATTGCTCTAATTACATATCACTCTAGTCTAGCTAGTAGCTTAGCCTAGCTAGTAATACCTCATGCCACAGGAAACTGAATCTATACAAATAAACTAAAAGTACGGTAGGTCAAACTTGAATCAGGAAGTGGGTTTGTAAACTGTGAAAATGCAAAGAAAAATGTCTCCAACGGACATTTTGGATAATACATTTGCAGTTGGCCTTACTTTAAATAAGAGTAAATTATTTGACTGTCATTATTTGCTCTTTCAAACTACTTCCTCTTCTTAGTAATGCAACCACATTCCACTATGTAGCAATGCACTTGTGCAAAGTGATGGACAAGACTACGAAACTGGGTACCCTGGTTCCTGAGACCTTATACGTCAACTAAGAGAAGTAACACCTCTCAAAGCATTGTGAAACAGCTCCTGGATAATAATGTCACAGCATTTGCGTAATTGGAAGATTATTTATTTTAAAACTCACGCATTTTAATTATATTAAGGCTGGAAGTCACACATTGTAAAAAGGGCTTGGCTCCACCAACAATGGCCATTTATAGATCAGTCAAGGGTAAGGCGGTTTCTGCACTGCCAAGATGTTAACACCCAGAGCCGCCCATCTTGAGCTTCACAACGGTACTTCAGAAACCAATGGGTGACGTTATGGAGAATCCATTTGTAATACTGAATTGGTAAAAAAGTAAAAACCTCAACTGAGATGCAGAATTTCAAATACGCTGTATACATGTCCAAAGAAGGATCCTGAACTAAGAATAAAACATATCTCACATGTAAATAGTAAAAAGGCTGCATTTATACAATGCTTTTCTGGTTATTGTGAGCACTTTGAGAGCTTTTGCAACAGTACAAGTACCAACTGCTTAATACCATGAAGGCAGATGATGCCATACATTACATTACGTGTTACTTGTTAGACGCTTTTATCCAAAGCGACTTACATACTCAATACTGTGGGCAATCCGCACAGGAGCAATTTGGGGTGAAGTGTCTTGCCCAGGGACACAACGACATGCTGACTGCAGTGGGGTTTGAACCAGTGCTCCCCTGATCCGAACACCAATGCAGTAATCCACTGCGCAACACTCCTCCCTGGTATACAAGATGCCACCTGCTCTTCAGGAGACCGACATCCACATGCGTTTAGACACCGTTGGCCGAGCCATTGGGAGCCATTTGGGATTCAGTATCTTGCCCAAGGACACTTCAACATGTTGACCCAAGGGCCTGGATATCAAATTGCCAACTTTATAATAGATTGGTGGAAAACCGCTCAACTGTCCCCCCTGAACCATGGCCGCCCATGTCTTAACTGCAAAACTCTACATCGATTAGGGCCTAAATTGGAATATCCGATTTAAACTGTTTCAATTTCTGAATAATACTGTAATAATAATGTCTGAATATAGTCTAAACCTTTAACCCAGCTTTGAATCTTTCCATACAATTCCCTGGACAAAGACCAACGCATAGGCTGTAATCTCTTATGGCGTCCTTCATGGAGAGTTTAAGATTATACTGGATGGAAAACTGAATTGCGTCTAGATGATTCATCAGTGCCTTTTATTCCGGCTCGGTCTACAACATGAATCCACCTTTAACCTGTATTTTCATTTCTGAAGCCTCGCCCAAGTAAACCACATCATCCTGAACAACAACACCGGGTGGAGAGCATGGAAAGACTCCATTTGCCAGGTCAACAAGGAGGACAAGATCACAGTATGATTTCCATAGTGCACTGTAGTTACTAGTGTGTTTGTGTAGGGTGGGGGAGGACTCTCCATCCATTTAATGGAGGAGCTGGTGCTTTCCACTGCTTGCCAAGAGTGAGAATAGAGCAGAAAATAAAGAAACAGAGGGGTGGAGGAGGTGAGGAGAGAGAGAAAAACACAAGTGGGAGAGAGAGATGAGGGGGAAGGGGGAGTCGGTACTACTGACAAACATACAGACCAGAATCACAGCGACTCCCCTCCCCCACCACTCACAAATCCACGCCATGGTTAAACAACAGAAACTGGAGGAGCTTCAACGTACTGGCTTGAGTGGCTTCACATATATAAGTGCCTGCCTGCCCTACATTTCAAGTCTTAAAAGCAACAAAATAACTTATCACGCCTGCTCAATTAATAGTCTTCTCTGGCAGAAATCCCCCCTCCCCCCTGGAGAGCAAAATTCATTCAGTCATAGTGCTGGTCTGCCTATTAATGATCAAGATCCAACATCACACCATATCGTATCATGAAGGCTGAGCACAAACTCTTATTAATTACAATTCTGAAGCCCTTTTATAGTAATATAGTAGTGCTCACAGATGAGCAGCTGGTTGCTTAACATAACCTTGTAGTTAAATAAATAAAATGGTCAAAGTCCTGGTAGGCTAAAAGGTTTTATGGCAGGAGGACAGACCTTCAGCAGCTCGTAGTCTACTTTACATGTTCTTCTCTAGGCGTGTCTAAAAATGTTTTGCCTGCTAAGCATGTTAAGACATGTCCTGAGCTGGAGGCAGGTGTGTTCCTGCTGTACTTCACACCCTGCATCTTTTAGTGGTGGATACGAAAGAACAATAAAGATGTATCACCGCCAAGCCCAACCGACTAACCCTGTCAACAGGCTAAACCAAATATTTGAGCGACACCTAGTTCCTTGTAGGGCTGTACCCGAATATCCGAATATCCGTTCGGGTTTCAATTTCGTTATTCGTTTTTATTTGAATTTATTGAAAACTCCAATATCAACATAAGAGCTTGTGCCTCTTCGGGGGTGCTAACACTTAACCATAAACGTTATCGTTTACTTTCTCCTTCTTTATATGTAGATATTACTTTTTCTCCGTTAATCTCCGTCACGTTGTTTCCAAAGCAACAACAACTTCCGGTCAACTGCGCTAACTCTCCTTCAAAATAAAAGCATGTCCATAAATAGGAAGCCAAGCCAAATTACACTTAAGACGTATACAACTGCAA